CAATTCTGTCAGCCCTTTGCTGTCCTTCTCTAGGAACAGGCAGAATCCCACTAAAGATAATCTGAGCCTCCACTTCCTTAAGCGTCTTCCCCAGCCTGGCATAATCTCCCTTAATTCTCTCTAGCGAGAACCTAGCCGTGTCGTTCGTTCCTACGTGAAGGATGATCAAAGGGTTCTTACCCGCTCCTTTTAGGATCCTTTTCAACCGCAGGTCCACATCCCTTATCTTAGCGCCCGGCAGACAGCACACCCTTCTGTTTTCAGGGTCCGCTCTGGTCACAGGCCTGTCCAACCTCCTCAGCAAGGAGTCTCCAATCACATAAACCTGCCTTTGCCTGGTGACAGTGCTCTCAACAAATCTATCCCCTGTTCCCTGTAGTCGTACTTCCTGTGTCTCTCTATTTTCCCTTATAGTCCCCCTAGTGCCATCCTCTATCCTGCTGGGGCCCGGTATTGGTGCTGTCTCCATCAACTCCTGCCCTCTCTCTATCGGACTAGCCGCTCTTCTCTTCTTCCTCTGCCTCCCACCATCAGTTACCACCTGCTGCCTCTCTTCCTCATTATCCAAACACTCAAACCTGTTCCTGAGTTCTATTCCCCCCTCACTAGCCCTCCTTTTCCTTGGCCTGCTCCTCACAGTCACATGCTTCCACTGATCTTGCTCTGCCCCTGACCTTCCCCCCTCACAGACCATAGCCTGTGCCTCCACCTGCACCCCTGAGCATTCCCCTTCTGCCACACCCAGCTTCTGCTCCATTAGCTGCTCGAATCCCCTTCTAAACTCTACCATAGTATCTACCTGCATCTGGAGCCCTCTAATCTTTTCCTCTAGCAGGTCTATTAGGCGGCATTTCATGCAAACATACCTTTGTTCAGGCTCCCCAGCGAGGACCATATACATACCACAGCTGCCGCATGCAATCATCTGCATAGTGTCCCCCGCTGCTTGGCTCATGGCTGCTGTGGTCTCTGCCTGCAGCTCCTGGGACAGCAAAGCACACTGCGCGCCGTGCCCTCCTACCTCCCCTTCCACCTCCCCCTGTACACTCCCACTTAAACTCCCCTGTTAGCAGCCCTGTTTGCCGGCTCCTGGTGCCGCTGCTCGGCTGGGAGGCCTCTTTTATAGGCCCCCTAATCAGCCAAGCTCCGCCCCCTAATCAGGGCTCCGGGCTCAGCAGCCCTCCCAGCACACTGCCCCTACAGGCCTCTACACACACAAGCACTACAAAATCATAGCTCAGGGCTGAATGGGTTGACCTGTGGCCCGAGGAGTAACCAGCAAAGATGGCCCCCTGGCCCATACCAGCACCACCACTTGTCAGACTAAACCTTTGGGTGAGTCCAATTAGCCTGCAGTTCTCTTCCAACACTGTAGGAGGCACTGTGGTCAAGAGGGAAATGCCAATATTTTGGTGGACAAAAGGATTGGCAAACCTGAGCCAGTCCCTGAAAGCAGATCTCTGTTCCGTGGGTCTTTTTAGGACCTGCAGAATTGAGTTTGACTCATTTATAGGGAGGGTCCAGCTGTGAAACTGAGATCCATGTTCAGATAGCGCGCACACACACACTTTGGTGATATATAGCCCCTTCTCTAATATCCCTGTGTAAAATTATTCTCCATGGCCACAAGTCACTTAAGTACAGGCCTAATTTCACAGGTAGTCTCATTGATCTCAATTGATTACTCACATGCTTAAAGTTAGGCACGCTTATGTGCCCTGCCTACTTGGGGCTCACATGGCCAAAAGAATGAGAAACCCAGGCTCTTTGGCTGCGCTTTGTAGAGAGCCTATGGAATGATCGCTTTTAAAACTACAGGGCAAGTGTATTTCCCCTCCCCGCTGCAAGTCTGGGTTCATTTTCTGGAAAAACAGCTGCTGGTCAATTTGTCCCAGGGCCAATTTTGAAATACCTGCGGCTGGAGTCAGCTACTGCTAATGAGCCCCTAGGGAGGTTTTCCAGCCCTAAAGCAATGTCAGGCATAAAGCAGGAGGGTGCACTATGCAGAAATGAGTTAGTTGTAAGTGTGCGGTTTTCCCTTCAAGGGAAGCTGAAAGTACAACTGTGACGCATGGCCAGAAAGGGTTAAACATCCTGCAAATTAAATAACCCTCAAAAGACATGTGGGGAGATAATGTTTGTGTTTTTACACACACACACACACACACACACACACACACACACACACACACACACACATATATATATATATATATGCGTAGGGTCCACAACGTAATCAACAGTCCCTGTCTAGGCTGTATTCTGATAGTTCAGCGATCAAAAGAACATCCTAGCATTTAAATGAATTGTAAACATGGGAGATCTCAATATTCATCTCTCTTTGAAATGTACTGTGAATAGTGGAGGAACAAGCAAATTGCCTTATGTTAATTCTATAGTTAAGTACTGGTGATGGACCTCCTTCAAATCATCCTAATTACCTTTTGTTCCCAGAGGAACTCCCAGCTTGTCAAAGAGGACATGAAATTGTATAAAAGATCCTTGGGTCCTGATTCTGTCATCTCAGATCTGTTTAAGCTTCATCTGGGGAAGTTTGAGTCGCAAGACTGAGGTCCCAGTTATGCTGGTATGACCTGAATATGAGATTTGGACATTGGACTATAACTTATGAACTGACTTCTAAAGGAACTCTTTGCAACTACAAAGCTCACCATCTCTGTTATCAATCTAAATCTCAATGTATAATGATCTTTTAACCATTCTCTCTCTCTTTTGTTTTTTAATAAATTTTAGTTTAGTTAATAAGAATTGGCTGTAGAGTGCATTTGGGTAAGAGCTGGAATATTCGATAACCTAGGGGGTAATGTGTCCGATCCTTTGGGATTGGTAGAACCTTTTCTTTTATATGATGAAATATGATTTACAGAAATTTTCATCATATTTGACATGGGTACCTGGATGGAGGCCTGAGGCTGGATCACTTTAAGGGAACTGTGTTGTCTGGACTTCTGATTAACCGGTAAGGTAATAAAGAAGCTGTTTTATGCTAGCTTGGTAAATCTAAGTATTGGAATATCCGCCAGCTTTGGGGGGTCTGGCAGCCCCATCTTTTGCAGTTCACCCTCATTGATTGACCATAGCTGGCCCTCACTAGGACGCCGGTCACAACAACACTTTGCCAAGCATTAGAATTAAACAGGGAATTGTGAGAAGTCATGACCGTCAAACTCATAACTACGGTGTCTTGCATTTATACTGCGTAGCTCCTTTCGTCCCAAAGCGCTGGCCAGACATCTGATGCTAAAAGCCCTCAGCGATGGCCTAACTCTGCTCCAGTGGGAGTTTTAAAATGCACCCCTGCAACTGGTCAGATCTGTTTGAAATCTCACTGTATGCTGAGCAGGCCCTGGCACTAAGAGCTGAAGCGATTGGTTCAAAAGACTGGGTAGCCTGTGGGGGTTTGCCATTGCCTTCTCTGCCCTTTGGATTTCCAGCATGGCAAGGTTAAAACAGTTTATGATGGGTAATAAATAGCTGGACCTGACCTGTCAGTTGGAATTCTCCATGTAATGCTGGGGACGTTATCCAAGTTGTTAGGCTCCCAGTGTTACCTGTATTAAAGATAATTTATTTTCGATAACAACATTCATCCAGAGGGGAACAAGTGTCACTGCAACATGCTTACAATTAGAATCATGTTCCTCGGGGACCCTGTAAGAGGAACCCCAAGGCACTAGATTTTGCTACAGCTACAGCTGTACAGCCTTGCTCCTTTCCCTACCGTCACTCCTCGCTGAGTCTGCCTTGAGTCCCCTGGCTCCATTCAGCCAGCGAGACACCAGTTCGCTCCAATGCGCTGCCTTGTCACACAAATGGAGCGGACAAGCTCAGTGGACAGAATGAAAGAGGAACTGAGGACACTGCTGGTGGTGTGCAGTGAGTTAGATTTATGCTGCTAACAAGCCTTGAACTTGTCCTGACAGTGACTTTCTGAAGGAAGGAAAGACCCTTCCTGCCCACTGCCATGCCCCAGTGCCCGCTGACATTAAGCAGGAATCTGAAGAGAGTTGAATGTTTGTTTTACACAGAAGCAAAGGCTCCAGGGTTGGTCCCTTTTGAAGCCACTGCATGTTCATTCTCTACCAGCGAGCAGAAATAGGGGAGCTATCCGATACTTCTGCCACTAGCTGGTATGGATTTTTGGATGACACTGCATCTAGACCTCAGCAGCAGTGTAAAACCGTAACAAGCATCCACAAAGCCAGAGACGCCTGTGGCACACATGCCATCCTGGCTGCAAGCAGAACTTTCACTGCAAAGGCAAACGGTGTTTGAAGACCGAGCAGAGTAGCTTCCCTGGCCTGCGCTGAAGGTGGGTAAAGAATAGTGCTTGCAAAGGGCTGGGCACGGTGTGACAGACCCACAGAGGAGCGTTACATTGTGCCAGGCGTGGGCACACATACCACCAAGCTGTAGGAGAATAGAGTTAGCGGCCTGATCCGGGACAGGTGCCCTACTGTAATACCCAATGTACAGCACCTAGCACAGTGGGATGCTGGTCAATGACTGGCACTCCTAGGTGCTACAGTACAGCTCCTATCACACATGCGGCCTTGGGGTGTGACTGGGGCTCCTAGGTGCTAGGATAATACAACTAAATAATAACTGCTCATTATCCCAGGACAGGGCAGGTCTTGACATGATGGGGAGAGGCCATTTTGGCCAGCCAAATGTGGGTTGGGCTGGATGAGGAGACCTCTACAGGGACAGATTGCCCCCCCCCCCCACCTACTATGGGGTTCTGACATCAGCACCCAGTGCTGACGTTGCTATGCGGGGGCAGGGAGGAACAGTGTTTGGATTCAAAGAAAGGTTGCTCTCCAGCTCCCAGGACACAAGGCAGAAGCGTGCTGACCCATGTACAGTACCATGCTAATGGCAGGGCTAGTGGATTGCTGAGTGCGTGTGAAAGAGATTGCGCGTAATCATGTGTGCAACTGCGCTTGTGTGTGTGCCCGGCTGAGAGGGCATGTCTGCCCATGCCCAGGAGCGTGTACACACGCTTCTATGCTTCACTGAGCCGTGTCCTCACCCTGTTCCTGTCACCACCCTCACCGTGTCTATTCCCATCCCTCCCTGCAGTTTCCAAGTGGGATCTGGAGAGTTTTGACTATCAGGAGCTGAAATCTGAGCTGACGGAGGTGCCCGCTTCCAACGTCTTCGAGGAGCGCCCCTCCCCCAGCCACCCTGCCACTGGGGACACAGCCACTGGTACAAAGATCACCTTGATGCCTTTCCCTCCTTGCGGGTTCATACAGCTAGGCCTCGTCCTTCTAGCACCATCGCTGCAGTCGGTTTTCTTCTCCTCCCCCACCCTCTCTCCTATACTGTCGCCCTCACCCTCCACACCAGGGAAGAGCCTAGCTGGGGAATATCAGCTTCTCTGCCTCTCAGCTCCTTTATCTAGTTCTATTTCATCATTGCTTCTTATTCTGCCTCCTTCTCTCGTCCCATTTCCCCACCTTACCCTGGCCAGCCTGTCTGTCCTGTCCTTTGCTGAACCCCAAGCAATCCAGGCAAGGATATGGCCACCTTGTGCCAGACCCAAGAAGGGAGTTCAAACCCCTGCTCCAGCAGCCAGACTCACTGTGAGCACCTCCAGACCATGAGCCCAGGCTGGAATCTGGCTAGCCGCAGGTCTGCCCAGCCGCAGGTCTGCCCCACGGCAGAGAAGGGAGCAGAGCTGAACTTGTCCGCTGGAAATGACTCAGTCTTTTTGGGCCAACTTTCTCAGGCACTCACTGACGCTGTCCTTAGGCAGTCCCTGAACAACTACATCAGAGAGGACTCCAAATACAAAATTCAGAGCAGGGTCTGCATGTCCACCACTCTGCAATTCAGGATCACTCGGAACCCGGGGGTCAGGCCCATCTCTAAGTAATAAAGCATAACACTTAGTACACAACTTATGGGGATTTCCCCCTAGCTGTAAGAGCTAATAGAATCAGGAGGCTGCTCTTAAAATGAGGTCAGTGGTGCCATGCCATGTTTCCTTCTGTTATTATTGGTTAAGCAACAAACTGTGAACTTCAATCACTTTTCTTTGATTAGCCCATCCCTGCTGTGCTGCCAGCTTTTGTCACTTTGCACACACTTTGGCATGTTCCCAAAAGTCCCAGCTCCTGTAGGCATGAGCAGCTCAGCTTTACTTCAAATAAATATGATTCTAGCCTGCATGGCAGCGGAGAAAAGCTTGAAAAGGTGAAGCGAGAGCCCGCGAAAGGCCCAAAAACCCCAAGGCAAAGAGGAAGCAGCCACAAAAGTTGTTTAAAACCATAATCTCATGATTGTGGAGGGTCAGACTCAGGATTTTGGAATCTGCCGGGTTGGCGATACCAAAAATGGCCTTATGGCCCATGCACAATGGAAACAAGCCCTAGATTCAGCTTTGGTATGACACCACAATGGGCCTCCACCAAGACAGATCTGGCATTGTCCACAGCTATGTCAGCACCTGGAAGGGGTCACTGACCTGTTTCTTAATCCCAGAGGTAGAGCGATGGAAGGGATGGTGCTGGTTGAGTGGCCTGTAGCTAAGAACTCTGCATTGGAACACAGGAGGCCTGGGGTCCATTCCCAGTCCACATACCTGTGTCTGCTGCTGTTAGACGGAGTATGACAGGGGAAGAGGGAAGGCCTCCTACTGCTTGTAAACCACCTCTTTAGCCATCGAAAGGAACACCCCTGGTGAAGTCCACTACGGAAGGGTGGTAGTAGATGGTGGGCAGGAGAATTGTTATAGCACCCTCTGAGCTTGCCTCTCATTGACTTTGTTCATTGTGGCCAAAGACTCCTACTCTTTCTGGGCTGGTTTCCTGTAACTGTTTTACTCCATGCTGGTGCTTTATACATTGTCCATCTAAGCCCTGCAACCCAGCCTCTGCCTTTCAGAAATAAAATAGGTCCCCAGGACATTCCACCCTTGGCTTCTGACTTCCACTGGCTGGATGTCAGGAGCCATTTTTAAAACTAGGATTTAACGGTTAAGACTCTTTGCAGCTGCCTCATCAGATCAGAGTTCATATTGCGGACGCTCCCCTGTCCTACCTGAAATGTTACTAGGAAACCCAAGTGGGTCTATTAAAACACTGTGCCTGGGCTATTGCAGCTGAGGTTCCACTTGAAAAAAAAAAAGAGATGAACATCTTGGTCTTTCATCTTAACCACATCATGAAAACCTTTAAATATCACTAGAGCAAGAAAGTCCATGCTGTGAAATCCCCTTCCAAACTGTTCACCTCATTTTCCCCCCATCTCTCTTCACAGACAATCATTCCTGCTTCTTTTCTCCTTGTCCTCTCCTCTTTTTTCTGTCTGCCTGCACTGCTTAGGAACATAGCCTAGGGGGCAATGCCGGTGTGTTGATAAGTGCTGGAAGGCTGCTGTTGATAAATTGAGGGGGTATCTCCTCCATCAGCTTCATGGAATTATTTACTTACTTAGAATCCAGTAAATGATCTTTCCTGCTAGTTATTGCTGGGTGTGTGTGGCTTTCATGGATTTTAGCCTTTCGGTAGGAAATCTGCCACTGGTGACAGACAGAATAACTGAATTATTTTTTTCTTCCTTGAGCAGGGTGTGGAGAGCTGGTCTGGGTGGGGGAACCTGTGACCTTCCGCAGGGCTGAGACTATTGCTGGCAAGTATGGCGTGTGGATGAAGGACCCAGAGCCTGTTCCCCCCTACACCCGCGAGACCACCTGGAGAGTCGATGCCATTGGCACTGACATCCGCCAGGTCTTTGAATACGACGACGCTGATCAGTTCATGAAGGGCTATCCCTCCAAGGTCCACGTCCTGCCCCGGTCCATGGAGAGCACTGGAGCCATCATATACAGGGGCTCCCTGTACTTCCAGCGGCGCAAGTCCAGGACGGTGGCCAAGTACGACCTGAAGACAGAAACGATCACAGTCCAAAAGGACATCCCCAGTGCTGGCTACCATGGCCAGTTCCCCTATTCCTGGGGTGGGTACACAGACGTTGACCTAGCTGTTGATGAGATGGGGCTGTGGGTGACATACAGCACAGACAAGGCCAAAGGGGCCATCGTCCTCTCCAAACTGGATCCAGAGACGCTGGAGGTTGAGCAGACCTGGGAAACCAACATCCGCAAGCAAGCCGTGGCCAATTCCTTTATGATCTGTGGCACCTTGTACACCATCAGTAGCTACTCAGCCCCAGACGCCACAGTCAACTTTGCCTACCACACGGTCACCAGCACCAGCGAGCCGCTGAGCATCCACTTCGAGAACCGCTATGGGTACAGCAGCATGGTGGACTACAACCCCACGGAGAGAAAGCTCTTCGCTTGGGACAATTTCAACATGGTCACCTATGACATCAGACTCTCCACGATATGAGGAGCCTCAGGGCAGGAGGAGGACACGCCACGCTCATTGCTAACTAGCAGCTCGTGGGCTAGGGGCAAGTCTAGCCAGCTGTCAATCTCATACACTCGCTCTTCCTATTCTTCCTGAGCTTTCCTTGGACTCAGCCCTGAGCCCCTTACTCAGGCAGAGCGCTCATTGAGCTGGGCAAAGACTCCAGGCCTTGCCCTAGACCAGAGATTCATATTCTGAGAGCACTAGTGGGGCTCAAATAACAATAGAGTGGGAATAACTTTGCGCCACTTGGGAACATACGTGCAATAGGCATTTACAGCCCTGGCGTCGTTCCCCGTGCCTCTCTCTGAATTACACACGGGATGAATTTGGACAATGTAGAAAAAAAAGTAACAAATTGTTCAGGGTTATGCAACATTTGGAGTGTGTGGGCCAATTGCACAGGGATAGATCTAGAATGACTAAACCTGCCTGCGCCCTTGGCTAAAAGACTGCGATTCCAGCCAAGCAGACCAAACCGTTCATGGCAGGAGGCAAATAATATTTTAGGGGAGGGAGGTGGCTGGGTACCACCTTCACAGAATGGCTAATAAAAACCCAGTGACCATCAGCCAACCATATTCCTGCCCAGCATCAGCTGAGACAAGGGGAATGTGCTATGCAGTCAACACCAGGGGCTAGCCAAGGCGGCGTTGACAGGAGGAGATTCTGCAAAGTTGTGTCACACCCAGATTCAGTAGGAGAACATCAAGGCCTAAAGACCTAGCTCCAACACCCAAATAAGCCAATGGAAAGACTCCAGCTGACTTCACTGGGCTTTGGATTGGGTCCTTAGTGGGTTGACTTGGCAGGGGCGTCTCAGAAATGTGCTGCAGGAGTTAAAAATGACTAGACATCCCAGGCAGCGGGCACCCTGCAAGAGAGCTTTCAGCTGCTGCGTATAAACCCTTCCATTGCCAGCCTCTCTCCTCCTAAGCACAGTGCATGCCTTGTCGGGACCAAGCTTCCCCTGGGAGCCCACCAGCCACCTCTACAGATTATCATGAGCCAGAGAACGTGGGAGGAGAAGACAGGAACTCACCCAGCTTGGTATCTCTGCAGCGTAAGCAACTGCTCTGCAGCAGCAATTGACCAGTAATTAAAGCAGGAGTCAAAGATGGGCCCAAGCTGCAGAGGGGCCAGGTCCAATGATTCACACCTCACCTAAGCATAGGGCCATTCCGCTCTAGGGGCTTTGAGTCTGTTCAGCGTCTCACACAGTTACACAATAGCCATTGAGCGTGCGGGGCTCTGGCCGAACTAGCCGCCTACCTGCAAGAAACATGGCCGCCTCCGCTCCCATTCCATTAAAGACAAAAATGAAGCATTACTTGTTTAACACAATTCTGTTAAGTCATTAGACATTTTAGCAAAATAAATTTAAGGAGGGTTGTTGTTCATGAAAAACGGGATCCTAGTATTTAGGGCATGATCTCAAATCCACTGAAGTCAATGGAAAGTCTCCCATTGACTCTAGTGAGCAATAGAACAGATCTCTATTTAACCCAGACTATGGTAATTAACTCAGAAAGAGAAGCAACGTCTAACTGTTCTTGCTGTTTCTAGCTCTCAATCCAGATAACTCCGCTGATTACACTGTAACTTAGACACTCTTTGTGATAGGCATGGCATTAGATCAGGTATGGCTAAGCATACAGCTGTTTTTAAGAACACACACATTTAAAGTATTTAGTGTATAAATCCTGTAGCTGGCTTGGTTTTTCTGTTTGCTTTAAAAGCTTAATCCATGCAGGTTGTATTGAAGCCTCCTGGATGAAAGCGAAGGTCCAATGTGCTGATGATTACGTGGAAGTAGTCTGTGATAATAATCGATAATAAACCCTCCTCCCCCGCAACAATCCACAGTGGCAGCTTCTTGTTGGCAGATTTTTCGTTTCACTGCAACATGCTGCAGGGAATTCCAGGCTACAGGCCACCTTTACAGGAGAGTTCAGTCCCCGCAAACAGGGCTCGATTTTCAGGAGCTCAGCTCCCATTTAGGCACTGGTTTCTAATTTGAGCTCTTCCACAGGCTTGCTGGGTGACTTTGCTGAGTCACGTCCCTGCTCCGTGCCTCAGTTTCCCCATCTGAAAAATGGGGATGATGATACTGACCTCCTTTATAAAGTTCAGTAGATAAGAGCTAGGTATTACTATTACTAAAGCCAAGGGGAACTTTGCCATTGACTTCAATGGAGCCAGGATTTCATCTACTGAAGGAATATCACCATGACTACAACAACAAATGCCACTGTAGAATAAGAGGAGGCAGAGAAATGGAAAGACTTAAATCCTGCAGTAGAGAGAGAGCTGACTGATTACAGGAAAGCTGGGAACCTAACATTAGCTGGTTTAAAAATATCAATTGATTACCTTTTACAGTCAGTAGAATATATGTTAGCTGTAACCCCTAACGGATGGAGCCTCAGATCATCTGTATTTGATTATCCTGAGGGGACCTCCGGTATTGGGGATGGAAAGAAATAACTTGTCAGCCCTTTCAGTATAAAAAGCAACTAAAAAGGTCTAAATCAGCATTAAATCTTGGAAAGTTTCATGTTAACTCACCATTCTCTACATCACCCGGGAGCAAACGGCTCCTTTGAGCAGGGGAACTAACCCCAGTATTTCTGGACAGCCTCTGGCCGAAAGCACGACTGACAGAATTTTGTTTTGCATCTATGGGCATAGCCTCACTGCAGTGTTAGCCCAGGTGATTGGCACCCAGGAGATGGGCACCTGGCATAGCCCAACCCAGCCATGAGCAACCCCACTGCAAAGCCATACCTAATTACTTAGGGTGACCAGATCGCAAGAGTCTAATATTAGGACACATTGGTCAAGTGGGGGGGAGGGAGGAGGGGAGACAGACAGACACAGGTGCACAGCCCTGACCGGAGCCAGAGGCACACTGGTCCGCCTGGCCCTGTGCTACCAGCATGCCCCTTCCTGTTGAGGGTGGGCCCAAGCTGCGCCACACAGCTCCCCTGCCCAGCACCCCCTGGATCCACTATGCCCAGAGCCCCCCTACAACCCTTCCACCACAAATGCACAGTGCTGTGCACACACACTCTGCCCAGCGCCCCCCTGCCCACAGCCCCACCATAGCTGCCCAGCACCCCACACAGAACCCCTGCAACTCGCTAGTTTCCCAATACACAGGTTTCCCCTCCCTCCCTTCCTTCCTCCCTCCCAGTGCCCTTCTCCACAGCCCCACCACCACAACTACACAATGCCCCACACAGACCCACACTGCCCAGTGCCCTGACACACACAGATCTCCCCCACTGCCCAGCACCCCCCAACAGACCCCCACTGTCTAGCACCCCAAAATACACAAACCTCCCCCACTGCCCAGCACCCTCCACACCCTCACAGCCCAGCGCCCCACACACACCTCCCAGACACTCACTCCATCACACCCTGCCCCCTTCCCTAGCCGCACTCACCAGCCCTGCTGGGAGGTCTTTGGCTCCTACGGTGAGAGCGGCGAGGGGAGTCTCCAGACTCTCCACGTGCTGGGCCCGCCACAAGTGCGAGCTTGGTGGCTCCCATTGGCTGTGAAAAGCGCCAATGGGAGCTGCCGGAGCCGCGGAGCGGGGCTTGCAGGCGCCGGCAGCATGCAAAGCCCCCCCACCCTAAGAGCCAGAGGGACCTGCCAGGGGGCGAGGTAGGGAGTCCCAGCGGTGCTCACCTGGGGCAGCTCCCGTCCCGGGAAGCATCCAGCAGGCTGGTCCCTCTGGCTCCTAGGTTCAAGGGGCAAGTTGGGTGGGTGGGTGGGGGGGGCGGAGGGCTCTCTGCCCGCTCCCGGCGCCGCAAGCCCTGCCCCTGCAGCACGTGGAGCTCCTGCCGGTGGGCGGGCACCAGGAGCTGCCCCAGGAAGCGGTTAGCGGCGGCGCTGCGGCTGCGGTCCGGACGGTCCTGGATATCGGGACAAAGGGTGTCCCGACCGATGTAAGGTTGGGACGCGGGACAAGTCCCCTAAAATCGGGACTGTCCCGATAATATCGGGACGTCTGGTCACCCTACAGTTACTGCATCCTCACTGCAACTACATTCCCCTGGGTGTGGCGCTAGGGCGTCTGGGGCACATCCCATGAGTCTTTGTGCTGCATTAAGTGGGCTGCTATTTGTCCTGGGGAATTGTGGGAGAACTTGTCTGCCCTTCGTGTGGTTTTAAGCTTCCCTTGGTCTGAGTAGGCTCCAGCATGGCCTCTTCTTTGGCCTCTCTGTCTGACACCCCTTCATGGAAGAGAGACCCTATGGCCCAGTGCCCTAGGCCCCCAGGACCTATGCTGCCCCCCAAGACACCCCAGTAACGTAAGCTCACCATTTGCCTGAGCTCCGTCCGACTCTGGTTTACTGTTTACCCCTTCAGGGACACACTGTAGCTGAAGCAAATAGAGCCAGGCTTGGCCTAAGGACCTCTCAACCAAATGCACACTTTACTCAGAGAGGGCACAGACTATCTAGAAACCACCACACACCTGAATTCCCTGCCCCACATTGTAGCTCACCCACTTTCCTTGGGAGACTGGGGGGAGGAGGGGAAGGGGGGTGGGAAGTCAAATTAGGCAGATTCCCTCTGCTGCAGCAGCTCCCCCCAGCTGGAGCAGGTGAGGTGGTGAAATGGCTGGAGAGAGAGAGAGAGAGAGCGAGCGTCACACCTGTCCTTTATAAAGTTCTTATTCCCTATCACCTATCGTGTGATCCCCACTCACCCTCAGGCAGTTGGAGTCTCCCAGCCCATGATTATTTGGTTACTAGCCCACCTGGCAGAATCTGTTCTCTCCATTTGGCCAGCTTTTTGCCCAAGGGGGTTTCCATTTGAATAGAAGACCATCAAAGTTTAGTGACCCTGCATCATGGCTGCAAGAATTTCGCCTGACACCTCTTGGGGGTTTTAGCTCACTCCGGAGGCTATAGAGGCAAGGTGAAGGCACAGCGTGATTTGGCAACTGGTTTGATATAGTTACGTACAAAGTTCATAATATCCAACAGAAGCCGTAAGTTGTACGTAGGTCCCCCTCCCAAACTCTCCTCAGGTACTTAGCCCCAGAAGAGCGTGTGAGGATGCTTGCCAGCCTGGGGAAGCTGCCCCGTCAGTACGGTCGGCTGTGTACCAGCTCTTGCCAGTACACAGTACCAGACCGGACCGGCTTACTTTCACC